TCTCAGTCATTCCCTACCAAGATCATGCCGTTTTTCCATCCAGTTATTTTCCTTTATGGATAAGTCTATTGCCTGCCGGAATTCTATGAGCCTGCAGTTTAGGCAATTTTATAAGCTCACCTATATTCCAAAGAGCTTTAAAAGCTTGATTTGAGTTTTACGACGATTTAGATGCATCTGAGCTACCTGTCAAGGCTTCTTCGAATGATATTATTCACGGAGAAATTTTATTGACAGCAAAGTGGTGCAAACTGAAAAAACTAAGTTGTTGTCGTTAAGAGATTCCTACAAGCAAATAAGCCATTGTGAAAACATTTACGATGAAACTATATAACGTTGGCAGGCTTTTGAATCTTACTATCCCTGAGAAAATTTCGGCGGAACGTTTGAGTGCAACAAGCCAATGGTTAATCTCCTCAAGTTTTTTGACATCACTTTGTGTATATGCCATTTACTGTTGCCAGATTAACCATCGTTACCGTCCTAGCAAAAAAGCTTTTCTCATATAGTACTTGTGAAACAATGAGAGATTCAATGATGCTTTATCGCAATCTTGGGTCTTAGGTTTTGTGTACGATATCAGCAATGTAGAATATAATATGTAAATTATCAAAAACAACATCTGATATAAAGTGAGAGTTTGAATATGCGAAAATGCTTCCACGCTACCAATTAATTTGTGGATGAGCACATGTGAAGGAAATATCTATACGCAAGAGTGGCAGTGAAGGAACCCTGTATTTAGGTCAGAAACATAGGCTTAACATTCGCCTGCAACAAGTGTCCATTCTCATCATACCGTACTCTGTAAAGATACAGCACACCTTTACTCTCCGCTAAGAACTCACAAAGTGCAGAGGTTTAGGAGTGGAGTAGAAAAATTGTAGAATTAAAAACGACTTCAATCATCAACATAATTTAAGTAAATAAATGTCGCACTTCTCCTATAATATCTTCCGCTGGTCTTCGAAATTTTTTGTGGCATTGTATTAATTCAGTAAAACTTTTTCTTTGTAAATGTGAGGGATCTCATTCATTTTCAATAGAATGTTTTGTCAACGGGAAAATTCTTTTATTTATTATTTCTTTGTTTTAATTATTCTTATGCTTTCGTGCAATCG